GGTGACTTGGGGCCAATCACCAGGAGATGTGGGAGTTCTAGTCCTGCTTCAGGCGTGAAAGCCAGCTAGGTGATTTTGGGCCAGTCCTACTCTCTCGGCCCTAGGAAGCAGCAATGCTACATCCCTTCAAAAATCTTTGCAAGAAGCTGCCAGGAGTCCACGCCGGCTCAAAAGCGCACACCCACAAACAAGCACACAACACACACAAAAGGGAACAACGTTGCTTGATCCCCTGGAAGATTTATTACTGTCAGCTCAATAGATCAGATTAAGAAGACTACACCATGTTAAGTCGGCATTACAATATTATAATAGGAATGTAATATTGTAATAGCTATGGTGATGGTCCCACAAGCTTTAAAACATGTCCCCTTCCCCACCTTTCTCCCCATACAAATTGGGGAGGGGCTTCTCTGGAATAGTTTCTTATATTGTTTTCTTGGTCAGGGTTGAAGCCCCTCTTATCTGACCATTGTTTTGGTAGCAACTGTTCCTGCTGTCCATAAAGCCATTTTGTGTTTCTCAACCACGGCCATTTTAAGAGGCGTGGACTTCAACTCCCAGAATTCCCCAGCCACCCTGTGCCCTCTACTATTATTTCTTCTCGGTTTATCTACGCTTCTCCGAGGGGTACCGTCCAGATAGCTTGGATGTTAAGCCCCATCATCCTCAGCCAGCACTACAAAGACCTGTTTTACAGCACACCCGGATCAGTGGTGGCATGTTACTGGTTTGGACCGGTTCAGCCGAACCGGTAGTTAAAACAATCCACTGAGAGGAAAAAGAAGAGAAAACCGCAAGAACGGCCCTGCCACCTGCCCCTGGCGCTTTTCTCTTCTTTCTCCTCTTGATGGCGCTGCAGGCCTCAGCTGGTGTGTGGGAAGCTGCGCATGTGCCTTAGGTGTGTGTGCATTAGGTGCGTGCGCAATCACCAAACCGGTAGTGGTCCTGGTAGGATCCCACTGCCGACCTGGATGGAAGACGCCAATAATTAAGGAGAATCCATTCAACTCCTTCGGATTCAAAGGAATGGCTAAGAGGCTTACAGTCATTTGTCTAAAATAGTATAGGAGGTTGGACTAGAATAGGGGTCACCAACCTTTCGGACCTCCGGGACCACCAAACTCGTAATTGTAAAATCCCACGGACCACTAATATGAATTTTAACTGACGGTGGCTTGCTGATGTTTTCCCAGGGTCTCTACAGGAAGCAGCAGAGACCCTGGGAAAACCTTCAAAAAAGTCTGCAGGAAAATCCCCCACCCCGTTTTCCTACCGATCGATCATTCTTTATTTGGGATTGTAGGATACCGTCTCCAGCTCCGTTCTTAGGGGGAGAAAGAAAGAGAGACTTTTGGCTTCATGCAAGAAAAACAGCAGAAGCAGCAGAAGTCTTTCTTTCTCTCCCCCCAATGAGAGAAATGAGTCTTTGCCGGCACAGCCTTGCAGGGTCCCAAAGACTCATTTCTGGCGGAGTTTGGGGGAGAGAAAGAAAGACTTTTGCTGCTTTCCTTGTGTGCAGCCAAAAGCAGAAGAAGAAAGAAGCAGAAAGAAGCAGCCCGGTGGCCAGGCCAGGCCAGGCGCGTGGGGCGAGTGGGGCAAGTCCCCCCTCCCCCCTTTCCCCGCTCCCCTCACTATCTTGTGTTGTTCGCAATGCAAGCGACGCAAGCCTTGTGTTCCCACAGGTTATGTGGGCAGTGCAGCCTTGGATTAATTGCTTTGGGGATGACATTTCTCTGCGGGCCACCAACATTTTCTCTCAGACTACCAGTGATCCCCGGCCCACTGGTTGGCGACCACTACACTAGACTAGAGGACCTCAAAGGCCCCTTTCCCACTCTGTTATTCTAAAGATTTGGAATGTTCGCACTTGGTCCAGAAAGCAATCGAGCAGGATGAGATTATTACCTTCCCGCTTTCTGTTTCCGCAGTGACTTTGCCACCTTCTTTGGAAACGATCTTGGCCTTCACAAATTCCTCTTTGTCATCCGGCACGAAGACGTCCTTCTTCAAGTCGAACGGCCGAGTCTGAGTTTCGATGCGAAGCTTTTCTGGCATGCGCAGGAACGGGGCGGCGGGCCCGAAATCAGACATCTCGGCATCCATGGTGGGAGCTGCGAATAAAAACAGGTGGATCATGGGATCTACAGGCCGTGATGCTCTCGTGGTGGGCAGGTGGTAGGATCCGCACCTGCCAGCCTTGGGGATAAGTTTGAATGAGCGGCCTTGGGCGCCAGCCCTGAGCTGGGTGACATTTCATGACCCAACTAGGGAATGTCATCAGTGCTCGGAGGAGGAGAAAGAGAATGACTGAAGGGTCCTTGGTGCTCTCTGAGCTTGGTGGTTTCCTTGCGGACGTTTCATGACCAAACTAACATCTTCAGTAGTCGAAGGAGGAAGAGGAGGGGGGAGGAGGAGGAAGAGAAGGAGGAGGAAGAAGAGGAGGAGGACTGAAGGGTCCTGGGTGTTCTCTGAGCTTGGTAGTTTTCTTGCAGATGTTTCATGACCCAATTAGGTAACATCATCAGTGCTCAGAGGGGGTGGGGGAGGAAGAGGAGGAGGGGGAGGGGGAGGATGACTGATTGGTGCTCTCTTAGCTTGATGGTTTTCTTGCAGACGTTTCATGACCCAACTAGGTAACATCATCAGGACTATGAATGCTTAAGAGATGCAATCTGCAATATGTCATCCACAAGAGAACCACTAGAGGGCACTCTGAGCTAGGCCAAGATTTGAATAGTTCTGCTTCCCCCCCTCAGGTGTACAACACTGGAACTGCACCTCATTTAATCCCTCTCCTTCCACTGCAAATATGCTGTCCCCTGCTGGCTGTTAGCAGAATTGCACTGCTTTAGAAATCAGCTTTAGGCAGGGCTGAAGCCTGAACAGCTGTGACAGGAGTGTGAATAGATATACTACTAGGAATAGTTCGTTCTCTGGGTCAGAAATAGCTACTCATGATAGTTACCCTTTGATTTTAGAGGATTTCACAAGAGAAGAACCGGGGACACCTCAGGCCAGACACCTGTTGTGGAAAAGAGACTTGTTAGTACAATATACACTGCAATCCTTTCCTCCAGCCACCCAGGTATCCATTCTGCCAGGATTATTCAGATATATATTTAAGGAGGAAAAAAAGTATCGGGAGGAGAGAACCTGCAATATATAGATTTTTATATATTTTGTGAAAGATTGGATTCTGAGGTAAATTTCCGCAGTGTATGATTAAGGAAAGAACTAAACCTCAAAAAGTTGGTTTTTATTTTTCTTTCAGTCGGACGCGCTGAGAATGGCAACCAAGTGTTCTCAAGGCAGCGAGGATTACAAAATCCATGTTTTTCAGCCAGTGATGGGAGTTGTAGTCCCAACTACTTTGAAAGCAAAAGAAGGGGTCTCGGAGTGCCTTTTCTGATGATTTTATTAAAGGGGTGAGGGAGGGAGGGAGGAAAGAAGGAAGGAAAAGGAAAGGAGGGATGGAAGGTAGAGAAGGAAGGAAGGAAGGAAGGAAGGAAGGAAGGAAGGAAGGAAGGAA